CTTTTGGAAAGGGAAAAACCCGGAAGACCACCGCTCCCAGGGTGTGGGCTTTGCAGTTAAGACCCAATTAGTAAAAGCCCATAACCTGACACCAAATGCGATCAATGAAAGAATCACCTTACTAAGACTACCACTCCCAAAAAAACAGTTCATCACGCTAATATCAGTGTACGCCCCAACACTAGATGCGGAAGACCATGTCAAAGGTGCCTTCTACCAACAGCTTGACACTGTCATATCCCAAATTCCAGCTGGGGACCGTCTCCTTCTCTTAGGGGATTTTAACGCCAGAGTAGGGCGAGAACATGAACTCTGGCGCAACATAATCGGCAAGCAAGGCATGGGAAACTGCAATGATAATGGCCTCCTCCTCCTTGGCTCTGTGCTGAAGGAACTGTTCATCACAAACACAGTTCAGACTCCCGAACCGATTTAAGACTACCTGGAAACATCCTAGATCAAAACTGGCATATCTTAGATTATGCCATTGTCAGACAACAAAAAATGAGGTTTTAATCACAAGAAGCATGCCCGGAGCCGATGACTGCTGGACAGATCACCGGCTACTCATCACAAAACTAAAACTAACCATCAAAAGGAAGCCACGTAACATCCAACAAAATGAAGCCAGAAGATATGACACTGGCAAATTAAAAGATCCTGATACATCACGAGCTTTCCAAGCAGCAATCCAGCAGAACCTACCAGCCAGAGAACTTTCAGTCGACGCTGAATGGACTAACATACGAGATGCCATCAATGAAACTGCAAGAACCATAATCGGCTATCAGAGCAAACAGCACCAGGATTGGTTTGACGACAATGACAAAGATATTGAGGCCCTCATTAACACCAAACGGAAAGCCCGAATTGCCCATGACCAAGACCCTAATTCCCAACCAAAATGGCTAAATATGCACAAGCAAAGTCACAGTGTCAAGCCAGGCTTCGTGAAATACAAAATGAGTGGTGGCAACAAATGGCTCAAGACCTACAAGGTTATGCTGACAGTAGGGACCTTAAAAGCTTCTTTGAAGGCACAAAGAAAATTTTCGGACCCAAGCACACTGCTGCAGGGACACTTTTGGCAGCGGACAACACCATCCTCACGGAAGACTATGAGATCCAGAACCGTTGGGTAGAACACTTCAATACCCTCCTGAACAGGAACTCATCAGCCCAACAAGACTTCCTCCGAAATGTACCACAACACCCACCCCAACTATGGATGTCCCTACCACCAACATTTCGAGAATTTGATGCAGCACTGAAACAAATGCGCCATGGGAAGGCCGCGGGACCGGACAACATTCCTACTGAATTCCTGACCCACGGAGGTTTAGTTCTGAAGACGCGCCTTCACTCCCTCATACTAAAAGCATGGGAAGAAAAACAGGCTCCCAATGATTGGAAAGACGCACTCCTTGTCACCATCTTCAAAAAAGGAGATAGAAGAGAATGTGGGAATTATAGAGGGATATCCTTGCTATCAATTGCAGGGAAGATCTTGGCAAGGATCCTACTAAATAGATTACAAATTGTAGCAGAAATAATCTTGCCAGAATCCCAATGTGGTTTCCGCCCGTCTAGAGGAACCATAGACATGATTTTCTGTGCTCGCCAACTACAGGAAAAATCAAAAGAACAGCAAAAACCCATATTCCTAATTTCTACGACCTCGGCATTCGACAGTGTACCAAGAACAGCCATGTGGTCTGTCCTCAATCGCTTCGGAGTCCCTGAGCCTTTTGTTGACATGATCAAAGCCCTACATGATGGGATGACAGCTAAAGTAATCCATCAAAGTAACCTGTCAGCCCCTTCCCAATCACATGTGGACTAAAACAAGGATGTGTAATGGCCCGACCCTTTTCTCTTTTATAGCTGCCATGCTATATGAAGTACCCCACAACAACCCAGGGGTTGAGATAAAATACAGATTAGATGGAGGAATTTTCAAACTGGCCAGACTCAGTTCACAGCGCAACACCAACACCATCAATGTGACGGAACTACAGTATGCAGATGACAACGCTGCCGTAGCCCACACTCAAGCAGAGCTCCAAGAATCGGTGGATAATTTCCATGCTGCCTACACATGTTTTGGCCTAACAGTTAACAAGGCCAAAACTAAGATATTGGCCCAACCAAGACCAGGGGAGAATACACCAGTAACTAACATCACCATGGATGGAACAACCACTGAATGCGTCGAACATTTCCCATACCTGGGAAGCATCCTTTCCACCCAGAGCACCTCCTCCAAAGAGATCGAAAACAGGTTACAGGCTGGCCACACTGCTTATGGGAGACTATCCACCAGGGTGTTCAAGAACAAAGACTTAACCACCCATACAAAGGTGATGGTATATAACACCATTATAGTATCAACCCTGTTATATGCATGTGAGACTTGGACCCTTTATAGTAGGGATCTCAAAAAACTGGAACAATTCCACCAGAAAAAACTGAGAGCAATAATGAAAATCAAATGGAACGACTATGTGTCCAATACATCACCAGCATCGAGGCCATGATCATGAAACACCGCCTAAGATGGTCTGGCCATGTGGTGCGTATGGAGGACACAAGACTACCAAAGAAAATTCTCTTCAGTGAGTTAAATACAGGTGATCGCCCTGAGGCCGCCTATGCTTCGATTTAAGACCAACTCAAGAAATCCCTCAAGGAAGCTAACATAGACCCAAACGCCTTCGAAGCATCAGGGAGTAACAGGAACGAGTGGAGAAGAAAAATTAAAGTGGGCACGGACCTCTCTGAAGAGGAAAGAAGAGCCAACCTGGTAGCTAAACGACAGCAACGGGCAGAAAGAACAAATCAACCACAGCCACCTCCCACGATTCAGTGCGATCAGATTATTCAGAGCACGAATTGGTCTTACGAGCCATAAGAAGACTCACCACCCTAACAATAATCAACCTATGACCCCCTCCTCTATTCAACCTTTACTGGACTGGAAACTATGATATTCGGATACGAGTACATGCCGACGATATATATATATATATATATATATATATATATATATATATATATATATATATATATATATATATATATATATATTATATGTGTGTATATGTATATGTGTATATGTATATGTGTATATGTATATATATATTATAATATATATATTATATATATATTATATATATATATATATATATATAATATTTATATAGTATATATATGTATATAATGTGTATATATATGTATATATATGTATATATATGTATATATGTATGTGTATAATATGTATGTATGTATGTATGTATGTATGTATGTATGTATGTATTATGTATGTATGTATTATGTTATGTATGTATGTATTATGTTATATATATTATATAATATATATATTATATATATATATATATATATATATATATATATATATAGTGAAAATGAAACTAGCCACAATGAGAGTTGAGAATAAGCGTGACGTTTCGAACTCTTCTCGAGTTCCTCATCAGACAAA